AAATGTTACAAATTGACGTAACAAAGTTGCTCGATGATCGTCGCTATAATATTTTAAATGATACAAGCAGTTTAATAATCAATGTTCAATACATAGACTCCTACTAAAAGGGGTGATTTAGTATTGCAAGGTTTAGGTGGACTCAAAGGCACAACGAAACCGCAGTTTCTAATTTGCCTTTCGAGTTGAAGAAGAATTTCTAATTTCCTTGTCTAAAAGTAACAAAAGAATTTTTAATAACGGTGAAAACAATAACGAAATTTTGGTAAATTTCTTGCAAACATTTGACGAATAAGATCTCTATAAATGTAATTTTAACCTACAATATAACACGTATGTAATTCCTAGAGCTCGATAGAAAGTTTCTTCGAAATAAAAAGTAGCTCTTATTTATAAAAAATAGATATTTCTTATCGCAAGAAGGTCGAGTTAACTGGCACTAATCCTTCCATTTATTCTCCACATTCAACTTTGAGACAGTAGTGTATATAAAAATAAATGAAATAGACCACAACCGGAAGAATTCAGATTGCAAACGAGAGGAGAGAACAACCTCGAAAATTGAGTTTATACGGGAACAGCATTATACAGTACGAAAGAACCTTGCTGGTATCCAACTTGAATGCATAGAGAAACTGTTATGCTCGCTATCCTTGGAATAAAGTTACCCGAAGGAAGCATTTTTCTATTTTATACGCGTCCTTTCGTCGCTGGAAACCTTAAAATAAAGAAGATATAAATATAACACGCGTCGAGTATTCCTAAATGCGATTCGAGTTACATTCGTCGTTATTCTCGAATCTAAGTTTCAGAAACTCTATTACATTGGTCAAATATAAGAATGAAAACTAAATCTGACGAGAGTTACGATTTGATGAACGATCGAGGAATTTCTTTGGATCTGATGAAGAATTAGCTCATATTATTTGCTATGTAATTAATAATTGTATTATATCATTCATTGATACACCGAAAATTCTCTATTTTTTATTTTAAATTGTAATGCATCATTTGTTAAAAAAATAACAGAAGCGTATTTGCGACACGAAGTGTTATTAGACCGCCACACCAGGACAAAGAAACTATACTGAACTATACGAGGAGATTCGCAGCCATTGGCTCATATTATTTGCTACGTAATTAATAATTATATTAATTACACAGTAAATAATAATCCCCGGGTCTCACCGCGTGGAGGTTGCTGCGAATGGAGACCCACCCTAGCCTCGTCCCAACCACCCAAAATGAGAAAAACCCCATAAAAATGGTCCAATCTTCAAACAGCCATAATTCCTACAATAGTGAATATATTTCAATGAAACTTTTTTCTGAAGTAGAGCTCATAGGTACCTACAAAAAAGTACTAAACAAAATTTCCGTAGGACGTCGAACAAATTTGTTAAAAATGGAAAACGAATTTTTGAGAAAAATTGACAAGTGCCTAAATTTTTCGGCGAAAAAAAAATTTCAAATCGTTTTAAAAAAATTATTTTTAACCAGGGAGATTAATTACAATCATTTTTGGTGAATATACATATCCTCGAAATCCGAACCATTTTCGAGAAAAAAATTCCTCGTCGAAAATATAATTTCAGGCTGGAAAAGTCACTCTTTGGAACGTCGTAACTTTTGAATGGATCGAAGGATTTTAATGTTTCGCGCGGCAAACAACGTGTATTTAGATGAAGAATATGTAAAAATTGCAAAAATGTGCAAAAAGTTGATCCTTGACCCCGCAAAATGAGAAAAACCCCATAAAAATGGTCCAATCTTCAAACAGCCATAATTCCTACAATAGTGAATATATTTCAATGAAACTTTTTTCTGAAGTAGAGCTCGTAGGTACCTACAAAAAAGTACTAAACAAAATTTCCGTAGGACGTCGAACAAATTTGTTAAAAATGGAAAACGAATTTTTAAGAAAAATTGACAAGTGCCTAAATTTTTCGGCGAAAAAAAATTTCAAATCGTTTTAAAAGAATTATTTTTAACCAGGGAGATTAATTACAATCATTTTTGGTGAATATACATATCCTCGAAATCCGAACCATTTTCGAGAAAAAAATTCCTCGTCGAAAATATAATTTCAGGCTGGAAAAGTCACTCTTTGGAACGTCATAACTTTTGAATGGATCGAAGGATTTTAATGTTTCGCGCGGCAAACAACGTGTATTTAGATGAAGAATATGTAAAAATTGCAAAAATGTGCAAAAAGTTGATCCTTGACCCCGCAAAATGAGAAAAACCCCATAAAAATGGTCCAATCTTCAAACAGCCATAATTCCTACAATAGTGAATATATTTCAATGAAACTTTTTTTCTGAAGTAGAGCTCATAGGTACCTACAAAAAAGTACTAAACAAAATTTCCGTAGGACGTCGAACAAATTTGTTAAAAATGGAAAACGAATTTTTGAGAAAAATTGACAAGTGCCTAAATTTTTCGGCGAAAAAAAATTTCAAATCGTTTTAAAAGAATTATTTTTAACCAGGGAGATTAATTACAATCATTTTTGGTGAATATACATATCCTCGAAATCCGAACCATTTTCGAGAAAAAAATTCCTCGTCGAAAATATAATTTCAGGCTGGAAAAGTCACTCTTTGGAACGTCGTAACTTTTGAATGGATCGAAGGATTTTAATGTTTCGCGCGGCAAACAACGTGTATTTAGATGAAGAATATGTAAAAATTGAAAAAATATGCAAAAAGTTGATCCTTTACCCCGCAAAATGAGAAAAACCCCATAAAAATGGTCCAATCTTCAAACAGCCATAATTCCTACAATAGTGAATATATTTCAATGAAACTTTTTTTCTGAAGTAGAGCTCATAGGTACCTACAAAAAAGTATTGGCCAACTTTTTTGTAGGGCGTCAAACAAAATTATTAAAAATGAAAAACGAATTTTTAAGAAAAATCGACAGGGCGTAGGTGCCTAAATTTTTCAGCTAAAAAAAAAAATTTCAAATCGTTCTAAAAAAATTATTTTCAGTTGCGGGAGTCAATTTCAATCATTTTTGGTCAATATATATACCCCCGAAATCCTACGCACTTTTGAGAAAAAAATTCGAGAATGTGTGAAATTTTTCAACAAAATTTAAAAATTTCAAACCATTCTGAAAAAATTATTTTCTGTTGCAGGGGTCGATTACAATCATTTTTGGTCATTACACATTCCCCCGAAATCTTGGGCATTTCGGAGAAAAAAATTCAGTACGGGCGGAACTTTAAACTTTAATAATTTCTTAACGAAGCCTCCATCAACAAATTGGTATTCTTGTATTTTTCCCGATTTTCTCCTCTAGAAGTAGTGCAAGCCTACAGTGGTTCATTAAAATCAAAGTTAGAACGGCTACTACCATAATGGATGTGCGCGCAAGATGTAAATCATAAAAATCTGCAAAACTGTAGGAGGCGATTTTAAAAAATCGCATACCAATGGATTTCGAATAAAATGCTCGTCATTTTTTGTCATTATGAAAATTTCAATAAAATGAAAAATTAAGTTAATAAATTTTTTTTTGTCATAAACAAATTGTATTTTTTTAAATTTTTTAACACCATGTTATTGTACATAAGAAACCATCAACCTCGCCCGTTAACAATTTTTTTCTATGTCTTTCCGTTTTCGAGATAGCCGTTTCGAGCCAAAACTTCAAGGGGTGGTTTCGCCCCTTAAACTCGAGTTACCGCGGCTAAAAAAAAAAATACGTCTCGATTATTTTTGGCTGCTTTATAAGTGTACAAAGTTTCATCATAATCGAAGCCGGACCGTTCGCGATGGTTCCTTGTTAGCACTGCTGTATACATATAGTTTCACACTTGAAAGATCAATGCCACGAAGGCGAAATATTCTCAATCAATGAGAATTTCAACGATAAAATATTATCTACGAAATTAATTACGTACATGTAATTTTATAAATATTATATCACTAAATTTCATTGTTAGAGTTGTAAGCATGATTATGTTTGCTTCATCGAATGTGAGAATATCCGATAATTTTTATAAGTTGTCCGAAATTTGCAAAAATTAAAGCTCGTTGGTTATTTGTGCTCGAATATTCCAACAGTTACTACATTTTCTTAAACTTGTATCGAAATGCAAATTGCAACGATTCATAAAGAAATATTAACGATTAATTAAATAAATAACATTTGGAAATATTCAATCGCGATCAGAGTACAGTATTTCAATTTATCGTTATTATCTACCGACGCCATTTCTGTATACCTCGATATGTATCGTAGTGGATAAAAAGTTTGTTAACGATTTTGATATATTATGTTAACAATGGCCGGTTATAAAATTATGATCATGCTTGCAACGAATAACGTAATAAAGAGATAAAAATATATAAATATTGATAATTTTTGTTGTAGTTGTTTAGAAGTTACCAAGATTCCCTCCAAAATTTGTCGACTCGTCTGCCATCTGTTATGGCGTCGTTTACGCGCCAATGAAACTTCCCATCGCGTCGAATTTCAATCAGAGACTGCAACAGAAATGCAATACAAATTAAATCATAATTAAACAACAATTGATAATAATGAAGAAATATTCGTAAAAGTTAAATCGTAAAGTTACAGTAAAAAAGTAAGGTTAGGTACATTTTTTGGACAGGTTCACAGATAGAAACAAGTGACTGTCGTTTCTATGTTCATGTTACAGATATAAATGATTGATCTAATTTGACAATGCTAGATTGCCGAACGGGAATTTGTAGAATGCGTATGCATAAAAATCATTTTGTTACGGATAGACTTTGCATGAGTCGTTCAGGTAGACAGTATGAGCCGCAACAATGAGCCGCGGATAATGAAATGCATATCAATAATGTATTGAATTAGACGAATCGAATGACATATAACTCACCCCGATCGATGAACTAGGTTTTGCTAGGAATATACTGTTTCTTTTTATGTTTTTGTTGCATTTCTATATATTTATTTGAGCAGCAGCATCATATAAAACAGAAATAAATATTTCTTTCCCCCAGCAATGTGATAGATGTTGGAGCGTTGGATTCGCATAATTTGGAGCAGCACGAATACATAGATAGATCGCGTACATATTCAAAACGCATAGAAACCGGAGGCGTTAAAGTCCCTGACAGTACGTCTTGCCTACTCAAAGATATACCGGCTCCAGAAAAGATATTAGCAGCCGATCCTATTTCTGTCGGAGATCATGAATTGGTAAATAGAATGAACAGATGTCGATAAGGGTAGTTTTTGGTTACGAGCTCTTTTCGCTACGTTTAGAAGTATTTTATAATTGAGAATAGAAGAAGAAGGAACAAAGAATCAAAAATGGCTCTTGTCGATTTGGTACAAACTTCTTCGCTTAAGCAGTTTAGTAAATAATCATTTAAATTGTATTTATAGATCACCGAAATGCTCAATAAAGCTGTGACAGCGTTAGAGGACGTAAAAGTTGAGCACAAAGAGGACTTGGTAGTTCCTTTCTTATCATGATCTTGCAGTATTTCCTAAGTAGGATCACAGCTACGTCCTGCTTGAGCGAAACCCTAACGCATGATATTGAAAACCATACATCCTTTCGAAATCGATTTTCAGTAAGATAATCTGAAATTACTCGGAACATAAATATCATTTAAGAATTACAACGCAGTGTATCATAGAGTCGAGGTACTATTTCTCCGCAAGGACATGCCAACGACTGAACAGTTTGCATAAAAGATTATTTCGAAATGTTACAAGCTATGATAATTTAAAATGAAAAAACAGTCCCCAGATGGAAAGAACTGAATTTGCTAATGCTTTTTTTTTATAACTTACATGCGATATTGTATAATACTAATCCATTGTTATTGCTCTTCGCTGTGTGTGGTAGGAAACGAGTAACACGAAGGTTATTTTGTAGCTGACAAATGTAATTGTAACATAGGTTTAAAGTTTATCGAGAGATAATTTTTATAAACTGGTGAAAATGTTTTCAGTTTTCGATCAATATTGTACAAAAAATTTCTATCAATTTCTAACGAAATATTCAACATTGATTAGATAACAGTTACAGTAACAGTAAACAGTCAGGGATGGATGAAATATTTCTCATTTATATATTTAAAATTGTATTTTTATTTTGTCTCGAGCAAACATAAACACTTAATTTATTCAGATAAGGATTTGTAACAGTTAGATTCTTATCGATTAACTTTATTATTAATGTTATGTTATTTAATAATGGGCAACGTTCTCGTGCACACTTGGTGTTTATTAAAATTTTGTTATATTTTTCTAAAGCTGTGTTAGTTGTTATATATTTTTCATTCTTCGTTCATTTACGCCCATTGAACTGAAAACGAATCATTAAAAGATCACGTATTATTTTGTGAATAACGAAAAATCAAATAAAAATTGTTATATAAGCAATAAATGGCGACTAGAAGTAATATAAATCGTATTTGTTATGCTATTTAATAGAAGTAACCGGAATTGTAAAAACGAGCTAAATTTGTTGCAAGAGTTGTATAAAAATCTTTAAAAAAATGTCAATGCTTTTGAGCGTATTGTATTCTACAGAAACTAATCGTATTAAAGATTTTATTTCTAACGTACATCTTCTCACATTTATACTTTTCATACGGTATAATTGTGCATCGCTGATAATAGCAGAAATAGTAGAAATTTCATTCGATAAATGTTTAACAAATTAGCATTCGACTAGCTAGCATTTTGAACGGAGTAACGACAGTCGCTTGTTTCCACCTGTGGACTTGTCAAAATATACTTAACCTTACTTTTTTACCGTAACTTTACAAGTTAATAAAAAAATAACGAATTTCCGCGGATAATGAAATGCGTATCAATAATGTATTGAATTAGACGTATAACTCACCACGATCGGTAGAACGGGCCGTTTGCTAGGAATATACCGAAACGAAACAACGATGCGTTAAAGTGCGCGAACGATTATTACAATTAAGTAATGATTAAATCGAAACCGTGTCGCAAGAGTAATTAAAACGCGAGTAGTAACAGTGGATGGATAAACAGGTTAGGAATACGCACCTCGGTCGCGAAACGCCGATACGTCTCGACACGTCTTCCTCTGTTTATTTTCAAAGTACGAATGATGGCCGTCCGCTGTGCTCGGCAACGCTCGTGAGTTAGGGCGGCGGGGTGGGGGAAGCTCCGATGTCACGCGAAGCTCGTATTACGAACCCGAGGTATGCCTCGGACGGAAACCGCGGATAGACTGATTTTAGCAAATTATTTACAACTTTGACTAGCCAATGAAACGCGAATAATTCGTACTCGTATGCATTTACATGGAACTAGTCTGCTACCTGACACGTTCATTCGGTTAGTTTCTCAACTGACCGCCGTCCGTGTGAAGAGGTCGCTAAAATCACCTCGGAATTTTCAGGTCGGTATGGCAGTTGCGACGGTGGCGCCATTGGTAACGTCCGAATTCCGATGTACAAGCGCAACCCTCCGTAGGAGTCGAGGCGGCGGAGAATCGACACTGCGGGACGGCGGGACGTGAAACTCTTTCCGCGAAAGTGTTGGGGTGGATCGGCGCTGTCCATATGGAGGCAAACGAGGCGCCGTGTTAGGCACTTACGGCCTGCACGGACGCCTTGCTGTGTCGCGAAACAAGGTGCATCTCACGACAGATAGATCCTGATCAATCCGGTGAGTGTCGGGGTTAGACCGAATCAAGAGTGCACGGCCCGCTTAAATGGGTCAACCGAAACCCCGGCAACCTGATGTGTGTGCACTACTTTTTACTCTGTGGGATCACTGGGTTGGCCCAGTTTCATCGAGGGCCGTGGTGAAAATACACGCGGCCTTATTTTCGACCAAAAAAACGTTATCGGAAACACGCGTTTACCACCTCGCTCTGTTCGTCGTGGCTGTCGGTCGCCACGGTTTTACCGATCCCCGTTCGAGAAAAGAAATAACGAGATCCTCCCACGGGAATTCCGTTAATTGGCTCGCGGTAGTCGCGGTAGCTTGTCGGAACATGGTCGTCGGTGTTACGGAGGTGAGAGGTCGCGCGGAGCCACGAACGTGGCCTGGTAATGGTCGAACGATTCGTTCACGCGTTCGTTTCGTTCGTGTTGATACATCAGAGACTCGTGAGAAGTCTAACGGGTGCGATCGCGAACACTCGTACGCGACCCTGAATACAATTATCGATTTTCCGAAGAAAATACACGACGGGTGCGTTTTCGATGCATTTGCAACGAATCACGTCGCCCGGGACCAGTCGGCTATTTCTATGCGACCTCCCCCATCGTAGGGAACATAACACGATGGATATAATCGCAATTCTTACGGACACCACGAGGCATTGATCGCATCGTTTAAAAGTTCACTGTTTTCATTCCGTTGTTTGTATTTTTAAAAAAAATTCTGTCTTTATCGGGTTTGTCTTGATTGCATTATCGTAGCTCGGTCGGTTGACATGTGCAAACTCGATAACGTGCATTTCCGTCTCGGTTAAAGGTGGCCGAGTGTTGATTGTATCTGATAAAAATGGCGGCCAGCAAACCACCTGAAATGAATTACACGTGCGAGATTTGCGGCCTGGAAGGCTTCAACGACGAGGAGATGAGATCTCACATGGTGTTCTATCATCTTCAAGGAGCAGCGACTTGTCCATTTTGCGATTTAGGGGAAATATCGCCGACGGAGATGTTGGTACACGTTAACAGTGCTCATCTGGATTACTTGACGCCAAGGTATATATCAGCGTGCATTCAATTTATCGTATGATGTGTTTTGCACCCTTCGAGCGAAGCACAAGGTGTTTAAATAATTTCTACCGCGTGGTAAATGGCGGCAAAGGATATCCATAGATGTCGCTATTTTTGTACGTTACAGATTTGTGATTCTTAAAAAGTAATTTCCTGTAATAACAGTACTTCTCGATCGAATGTACTGAAAGTGCAGTAACGAGTGAAGATTCAAGTATAAAAAAGGAATATTCATTGTGTTTACGTTTCTCGTATTTCTTGTTCGAAGGCTATTGTCAATTAACCCTTCAGAGTCCAAATGTAAGCAATAACGCGGTGTTCGAATGCTGGGTCACTTTAACCCATAAAGAAAATTCAGATACACATGTATATGTTACAGTGAAACACAGAAATCTGGAGAATGTCGACTTTCACCGGTGAATGTCAACATTCACATAGTCGCTTAGTGTATGACCGGAATATTTGCTAAACACCCTCATTTCTGACTTACACCGGTAAATGTTGACATTCACCGTGCACTAATGGTGAGTGTTGAACATGTTGGAGATTTATATTTTCTTCTCCGTAATTCAGTCGCTATAAAACGTCACAAGGGTGACGTAACTTTTTCGCCTCTCTTTCTGAAAGGATCTAACCCAGACCTAACCCAGACCTAACCCAGATCTAACCCAGACCTAACCGAGATCTAATCCAGACCTAACCCAGACCTAACCGAAATCTAATCCAGACCTAACCCAGACCTAACCGAAATCTAATCCAGACCTAACCCAGACCTAACCGAAATCTAATCCAGACCTAACCCAGACCTAACCGAAATCTAATCCAGACCTAACCCAGACCTAACCGAAATCTAATCCAGACCTAACCCAGACCTAACCGAAATCTAATCCAGACCTAACCCAGACCTGACCCAGACCCTAGATTTGGGTTAGGTCTGGGTTAGGTCTGGATTAGATTTCGGTTAGGTCTGGGTTAGGTCTGGATTAGATCTGAGTTAGGTCTGGGTTAGGTCTGGATTAGATTTCGGTTAGGTCTGGGTTAGGTCTGGATTAGATCTGAGTTAGGTCTGGGTTAGGTCTGGGTTAGGTCTGGATTAGATTTGAGTTAGGTCTGGGTTAGGTCTGGATTAGATTTCGGTTAGGTCTGGGTTAGGTCTGGGTTAGGTCTGGATTAGATTTCGGTTAGGTCTGGGTTAGGTCTGGATTAGATCTGAGTTAGGTCTGGGTTAGGTCTGGAATAAGTCTGAATTAAGTCTGGGTTAGGTCTGGGTTAGGTCTGGGTTAGGTCTGGGTTAGAAAAAGATCACGATTTACTGCAGTATCCATTTAGTATAAATTAGGGTATCGGAAAAAAAATTAAGAAAACGTTGCTCGCGTTATCGAAGCTTGCATAAGACTGACAAAGCTGATTGACTCCGAGCAGAAGAAAGGATTTGGCGGGAGAGAGCCAGTCGCTTGTTTTTTGACTCTTCTGTTTTGGACCTCCACCAGAGCATATCTGTGATTGTCGACACACACCGGAGAGGGTCCGAATGTACAACAATGTAATGAAATATTCGATCTTTCACCGACGTATTTGGTATCTGTTGACATTCACCGGTGAAAGTTGACATTCTCCAATTTCGGTCATTCACGGTAACATATACACATTTTGAAGCATGATTTTGTAATAAATTCTGATGCTTAGTGAACAGTAGTAAAAAAAAATATATATAATGTACATAGACACGTGCTTGTATCCACTATGCTTCTGCGCACATTATTAATTATACTCACCAAACTTCTATTTCTCGCTATATCTCTAGCGAATACTGAATGTGTACTGATTCGTTGGTCAGCTGATCGGTTGATCGGATCAAAGAGACCCCGTATTCGAACTGCGAGGGTTAGCGTCAAACGTTTCCTACATTCAAAGAAATTTCTTTTCATTTATCGAACGAAGGATCGAAAAGTGTTGAAAGTGCAGTAACGAGTGAAGATTCAAGTATAAAAAAGAAATATTCTTTGTGTTTACGCTTCTCTTATTTCTTGTTCGAAGGCTATTGTCAATTAACCCTTCAGAGTCCAAATGTAAGCAGTAACGGAGTGAAACGTTTCCTAGATTTAAAGAAATTTCTTTTTATTTACTGCGCGAAGGATTGAAAATCATTGAAAGTCTCGTACACCATACACGTTTCATTGATATGCTAAATATAATCATTCGTAGCTTACTTGACACGAATTTATTATATAAAAGATTATAAATGTCAAGAAACTGAAAAGCAAAATGTGAATCGACTCGTCTCTATGAAAAGTATTGAACCTTTATGTTATTTGAATTTACAAATATTGAATTTTTCAAACGTGTTTTGAATTTAATTTATCTCTTCTGATTATCGTAGTACCCCGGAAAATGACATGATGGCGTTTATCGACGACGATTCATTGGCGGACGATCGTAGACACGATGAATGTCGTGGTCCATCACCATCCATGTCTCTGCGCCCGCCTCTTCTACAAAATGGCTGGAGCAGTTCATCTAGTCTTCGTGTTAAACAACAACAGGAACTACCAAAGTCAGAGCCACAGAATTCTAGTTCTAATGTGAATAATAACAATAATAATAACAACACTGGAAATGTTAATAATGGTATCGAGAAGTTTAATAGAACGTTAATTTCGTAACTTAGAATGGACGAAATGATGAAACATTTTATTTCAGTAATAGAGGGAGCAGCTGGTCATGGTTCTCCGTTGCGTTCAGGCCTAAATCTACAATTACGTTCCCATGCTTCGCCAAAACTTCCAGTGCAAGAGTGCCCTATGTGCCCGTACAGTTCTGACAGTCCGTTGAAGCTAGAAGAACATATCAATAGACAACATTTTGATCTCACTTCGCCGTCCTTTCCGCCTGAATCTCCGCCATCGCGCGATGGTATCTTTAACTGCCCCCTGTGCGTTACATCTTTCCCTAATTCTTCTGATCTTGAGCTACACGTTAACATAGAGCACAAAGATATATTAAGGTAAAAGAAAATTTATCGATACGTTCCTCTAATAACACTGAATTCTGTTACACGTTACATTTTCTTTTCCATACAGCCCTGCGAATGGCGCAGCTTCGCAGTCTGATCTGGCAACTATTGCCAGCGACACTACAGTATGCCCAGTTTGTTTTAGTACTTCGTTCAAGACCAACGATGACTTAACCGCGCACATCGAAGAACATTTCAGCAAAAAGGGTACACTGTCTCCGATAACTCCGGATTTGTCTACCGACAGATTGTTGGCTAAGGATATGGAGAGGCGCGAGAAAGAAGTTAGAAAATTGCGGGAACAACGAGAATTTGAAATGCTCAGAGCGCAGTACGGAATGGACAATCAGGGCAATTTTAGAGAACAGAGCGTCACCAATATGCAGCGGGCTGTGTATTCCGGTGAAATGACCATTGCTGATTATTACGAAAGGCAAAGTGAACTCAGAGTAGCGGAGAGTAGTGGCATAGATGATGGCAGCTCTTGTACACGTGGTAATAATTTCATTTTCGTAAATCGCTCTCCGAGATATTAGAAAGTGCTGTACGTTACCGTTACCAATTTTCTGCAGGTCTCGTTTCCAAGATACGAGCTGTCAGCCAAGCATGTAGTAACGTGTTGAGCACCTGGATGTGCTCCACCGTAGATCATTATGCCACTACTTACGGAGACAAAGGCTGGGGATGCGGTTATAGAAATTTACAAATGTTAATTTCGTCGCTTTTGCAACATACAGGGTACAATGAGTTAGTTTATAAAGCGTGGAGCTCTGGCCTCGGTAGTGGCAGTTCCACAAAAAATCCGCTTCGAAGTTCCATACCGTCGATCTCGAGACTTCAGAAGATGATAGAGTGGGCTTGGGCTCAGGGTTTCGATACTCAAGGAGCGGAGCAGTTAGGTGGGAAATTGGTGAACACTAGAAAATGGATTGGCCCTACGGAAGTAGTCATACTGTTGTCTAGTCTGAGAATAAAGTACGTTCTACAATTTTCACGCTTCTTTCTCGCAATCGTATACGTAATTTTAATTGTCTTATAGATGTCAGTTGGTAGACTTTTATAGGCCAACCAATCCCGACGGCGGACACCCCGAAATGTTTAATTGGGTTTTACAATATTTTCAACGATGCGACGATTTCAAGCCACCCCTTTATCTACAGCATCAAGGTATATATTAATATATAATACATGTTATATATATATGTTACCGTGAATGACCGAAATTGGAGAATGTCAACTTTCACCGGTGAATGTCAACAGATACGAAATACGTCGGTGAAAGATCGAATATTTCATTACATTGTTGTAAATTCGGACCCTCTCCGGTGTGTGTCGACAATCACAGATATGCTCTGCTGGAGGTCCAAAACAGAAGAGTCAAAAAACAAGCGACTGGCTCTCTCCCGCCAAATCCTTTGTTCTGCTCGGTGTCAATCAGCTTTGTCAGTCTTATGCAAGCTTTGATAACGCGAGCAACGTTTTCTTAATTTTTTTTCCGATACCCTAATTTATACTAAATGGATACTGCAGTAAATCGTGATCTTTTTCTAACCCAGACCTAACCCAGACTTAACCCCCGTTATCAGCGATAAATTGGTCTGGGTTAGGTCTGGAATAAGTCTGGGTTAGGTCTGGGTTAGGTCTGAATTAAGTCTGGGTTAGGTCTGGGTTAGGTCTGAATTAAGTCTGGGTTAGGTCTGAATTAAGTCTGGGTTAGGTCTGAATTAAGTCTGGGTTAGGTCTGAATTAAGTCTGGGTTAGGTCTGGGTTAGGTCTGAATTAAGTCTGGGTTAGGTCTGAGTTAGGTCTGAATTAAGTCTGGGTTAGGTCTGAATTAAGTCTGGGTTAGGTCTGGGTTAGGTCTGGGTTAGGTCTGAATTAAGTCTGGGTTAGGTCTGGGTTAGGTCTGAATTAAGTCTGGGTTAGGTCTGAGTTAGGTCTGAATTAAGTCTGGGTTAGGTCTGGGTTAGGTCTGAATTAAGTCTGGGTTAGGTCTGGGTTAGGTCTGAATTAAGTCTGGGTTAGGTCTGGGTTAGGTCTGCATTAAGTCTGGGTTAGGTCTGAATTAAGTCTGGGTTAGGTCTGGGTTAGGTCTGGAAGAAAAATTAGATTTTCTAATTAGCAAACTCGTCTTTTTAAGAGTAAATTAAGACCTAACCCAGACATAATTCAGACTTATTCCAGACCTAACCCAGATTTAATTCAGACCTAACCCAGACCTAACCCTGACTTAATTCAGACCTAACCCAGACCTAACCCAGACTTAATTCAGACCTAACCCAGACCTAACTCAGATCTAATCCAGACCTAACCCAGACCTAACTCAAATCTAATCCAGACCTAACTCAGATCTAATCCAGACCTAACCCAGACCTAACTCAGATCTAATCCAGACCTAACTCAAATCTAATCCAGACCTAACCCAGACCTAACTCAAATATAATCCAGACCTAACTCAAATCTAATCCAGACCTAACCCAGACCTAACTCAGATCTAATCCAGACCTAACCCAGACCTAATTCAGATCTAATCCAGACCTAACTCAAATCTAATCCAGACCTAACCCAGACCTAACTCAAATCTAATCCAGACCTAACCCAGATCTAACTCAGATCTAATCCAGACCTAACCCAGACCTAACTCAGATCTAATCCAGACCTAACCCAGACTTAACTCAAATCTAATCCAGACCTAACCCAGACCTAACTCAGATCTAATCCAGACCTAACCCAGACCTAATTCAGATCTAATCCAGACCTAACTCAAATCTAATCCAGACCTAACCCAGACCTAACTCAAATCTAATCCAGACCTAACCCAGATCTAACTCAGATCTAATCCAGACCTAACCCAGACCTAACTCAAATCTAATTCAGACCTAACCCAGACCTAACTCAGATCTAATCCAGACCTAACCCAGACCTAACTCAAATCTAATCCAGACCTAACTCAGATCTAATCCAGACCTAACCCAGACCTAACTCAGATCTAATCCAGACCTAACCCAAATCTAGGGTCTGTGTTAGGTCTGGATTAGATCTCGGTTACGTCTGGGTTAGATCTGAGTTAGATCTCGGTTAGATCTGAGTTAGATCTGAGTTAGGTCTGGGTTAGATCCTTTCAGAAAGAGAGGCGAAAAAGTTACGTCACCCTTGTGACGTTTTATAGCGACTGAATTACGGGGAAGAAAATATAAATCTCCAACATGTTCAACACTCACCATTAGTGCACGGTGAATGTCAACATTTACCGGTGTAAGTCAGAAATAAGGGTGTTTAGCAAATATTTCGGACATAAGCGACTATGTGAATGTTGACATTCACCGGTGAAAGTCGACATTCTCCAGATTTCGGTGTTTCACTGTAACATATAATATTAAATTCTACTGTTATTTGCAGGTCATAGTAGAACAATAATAGGAGTAGAACAATTGAGAGATGGTTCGATAACTATGTTAGTACTTGATCCGAGTCATAGTCCAGCACAAATGGCACAATTTAATAGCACAAGTAGTGCACTCGGGGCGATGCGTTTGGTACGAAAATCGATCGCAGCGATGAAGGCGAGGCAGTATCAAGTTGTTGCTGTCACCGGTATCATGGAAACCGAATTAGAGTATCAAGTAAGAAACTTTTGCACGTTTCTTATTTATTAACCGAACGCGCACAAAGACTTTACAATCGAAACTTGGACGTTTTTCAGCAAAGCAAAGTATTACGTTTGATACGTGTACCCCAAGATAGGTGAGATTTGCTGACCCAAAACGGAGTAAAATCTTGTGGAAAGACGATAGACTGCCTCAAACCGATTTTGTCAGTATCCTTAAAGTTACCTGACCGCAATGTTCTAGGTTTTATCATTAGGAGATTTGCTCCGCCGTAGTAGTTGCAGAAATATTATTTAACAATATATTCTTGCATCTTTTGGCCGTCAGAGATCGACCGGCCCTTCGAATCGTGTGTATCCTAAGCCTGCGTCGCGGTTTAACATTTTGGAGCTGAAATTTATAAAAAAAAAAAAAAAGTCACAAAAGTTGTAATTTTTAACACTTTACCGACCGGTAAGCGTTGGTCGGTAAAAAAAGTTGATTAATACGCTGTCGGTCGGTAATGTGTTAAAAAAGTGTCTATGTGTCGCGCGTATTGATTTTAAATCAATAATCAGCTCTCGAAATACTATATTACGATGTGTGCTTGGGAATGAAAGTTACAGAGACGAAGGATCCAATGAATAGAACTTAATTAAATCGCCATTTCTTGTCCACGATGTTCTGCTCAATTTTCGTCGCACCGAACAGGCTGTGCTAATTTTTAGTCGACCAATCGTCCTAAGCCCGGGTCGGTTGCATCAGCGAAAAACGCCATGGCAGAGGTTGTAAATCAAGACACTTTCGTAGCCGTGATGCTGTTATCGATTTAACGCTAATCAATCACCGATTACAAATATTTTTGAAGGCACTCCCATACAGAACAAAAAAAGAAATATGCAACATCGTTTGCGCTTACTTTGTCTCACCCTGTACTCCAAATTTTTAATAAACTTTGTTGTCAAAATGTCGTCAATTTTTAGTAAATAAAATTACCAATAATAACGATAAAATTTTGTATACAATTACATCGGTTATATTTTCGTTTATTGTTTATTTACATAATCTTTTTTGGAGTGTCTACAAGAATGAACGATGCATTCCCATATATTCTATATACGTATACACATACACACACTTGCGCACTCTTTGTTACATTATATTTCACTCACTCGTATATAAAGTACAACTACTTTCATACTAATTAAAAATATTCTATTTAATTATTCGATTAATTTAAGGCTACTCGTACGTTAGCTTGTAAGTTCAATGCAACGCTGTGACCGAAAGGAAGAGAATTATGTAAACTACCAGTCCATTTACTTGTTATTTATATTATACACTTCGAAAGCGTTACGTAATTTAGCAAATTATTATTATTAAGATGTATTTGTTATAGTCGAAGGTATTCGGGATTGTTTGAAAAAAAAAAATTTGACGTTTATTACGGGGGATGTATCATTGTTTTATAGCTTTTATAACTTTGCGCGCCCGAATCGGATGAAAAATTGTATTTCTGCTCGTTAGGACCGGACGCAATAATTACGACCGACAGCGATTATATTAAGATTATTTGTTACTTGTATTGAATATTTGCTGTACGCGAATTAAGGATATGTTTGATCGTTTCGGAGTGTTCGGGTTAATTAAGCTGTGGAATTGTTACGCAAGTGTAAAAAGAACTTCGTATTAACCACACATCAAATGAAAATATATGCTTTGTTAGAATTCCCAATTGATTGTTTCGTGCTACGCGCATCATATATATTATCATCGAATTAAACATTTATTTTTGTACGCTACATGTTCATACGGGACATTTTAAAATTAATAATACGTTCTACACGAATCGAGTAACTTTCAAATTTACAGAAACACATAACCTATTTGTTTAATTTCTGTATAAATTAACGTAGTAAATATAATTGAAATGCCATCGTAAATCATTACAATTTGAACGTTTATTAAGATATTGTTCACATTTATATATTAAATCCTAATGTTCGCATACAAGCTTTATGTGCTTCTATTAAATGACGGCAGTTCTCTTCGCCTTTAGTGATAATGCTGAAAAATTAAATGTTTGATACAATTAGGTTTTTGCAGAAGAGGTTATGTATTAAAATATATGAGAATCGATCGAATCAACAATGTACGTATTTGATTTTTGATAGAATTTCGCTGCAAAGTTTGTTTTAACTGTTACCATCGCGTGTCATGAATTGTTATCATTCCAAAGTATTTTATAGAAAATACGTACCACTCGTCCCTTATTTTTTTCGTTTCCGGACAAGCACAGCAAGGTTTCAGAGGTTTCTCATTTTTTTGTTCTGTCGTTGATTCTAGACTTAATGCGCTTGGTTTATCGTTCGCGATACCCATTATTACTGTATGAGAATTAAAATTGTCAGAAATTGCGTAATAATACCATGAAAGTCTCACATGTGCCACAGATATCGTTGGTTGTCGCGAGCGCCGCCAAGTGGCGAATTTTCGCGAAATTCAAAATGCCGGTAATGTCTATGTTACCGTGAATGACCGAAATTGGAGAATGTCAACTTTCACCGGTGAATGTCAACAGATACGAAATAAGGTCGGTGAAAGATCGAATATTTCATTACATTGTTGTAAATTGGGACCCTCTCCGGTGTGTGTCGACAATCACAGATATGCTCTGCTGGAGGTCCAAAACAGAAGAGTCAAAAAACAAGCGACTGGCACTCTCCCGCCAAATCCTTTGTTCTGCTCGGTGTCAATCAGCTTTGTCAGTCTTATGCAAGCTTTGATAACGCGAGCAACGATTTCTTAATTTTTTTTCCGATACCCTAATTTATACTAAATGGATACTGCAGTAAATCGTGATCTTTTTCTAACCCAGACCTAACCCAGACTTAATTCAGACTTATTCCAGACCTAACCCAGACCTAACCCCCGTTATCAGCGATGAATTGGTCTGGGTTAGGTCTGGGTTAGGTCTGAATTAAGTCTGGGTTAGGTCTGGGTTAGGTCTGAATTAAGTCTGGGTTAGATCTGGGTTAGGTCTGAATTAAGTCTGGGTTAGGTCTGGGTTAGGTCTGAATTAAGTCTGGGTTAGGTCTGGGTTAGGTCTGAATTAAGTCTGGGTTAGGTCTGGGTTAGGTCTGGGTTAGGTCTGAATTAAGTCTGGGTTAGGTCTGGGTTAGGTCTGAATTAAGTCTGGGTTAGATCTGGGTTAGGTCTGAATTAAGTCTGGGTTAGGTCTGGGTTAGGTCTGAATTAAGTCTGGGTTAGGTCTGGGTTAGGTCTGGGTTAGGTCTGAATTAAGTCTGGGTTAGGTCTGGGTTAGGTCTGAATTAAGTCTGGGTTAGATCTGGGTTAGGTCTGAATTAAGTCTGGGTTAGGTCTGGGTTAGGTCTGAATTAAGTCTGGGTTAGGTCTGGGTTAGGTCTGAATTAAGTCTGGGTTAGGTCTGGGTTAGGTCTGAATTAAGTCTGGGTTAGGTCTGAATTAAGTCTGGGTTAGGTCTGGGTTAGGTCTGAATTAAGTCTGGGTTAGGTCTGGGTTAGGTCTGAATTAAGTCTGGGTTAGGTCTGGGTTAGGTCTGAATTAAGTCTGGGTTAGATCTGGGTTAGGTCTGAATTAAGTCTGGGTTAGGTCTGGGTTAGGTCTGAATTAAGTCTGGGTTAGGTCTGGGTTAGGTCTGAATTAAGTCTGGGTTAGGTCTGGGTTAGGTCTGGGTTAGGTCTGAATTAAGTCTGGGTTAGGTCTGGGTTAGGTCTGAATTAAGTCTGGGTTAGATCTGGGTTAGGTCTGAATTAAGTCTGGGTTAGGTCTGGGTTAGGTCTGAATTAAGTCTGGGTTAGGTCTGGGTTAGGTCTGAATTAAGTCTGGGTTAGGTCTGGGTTAGGTCTGAATTAAGTCTGGGTTAGGTCTGAATTAAGTCTGGGTTAGGTCTGGGTTAGGTCTGAATTAAGTCTGGGTTAGGTCTGGGTTAGGTCTGAATTAAGTCTGGGTTAGGTCTGGGTTAGGTCTGGGTTAGGTCTGAATTAAATCTGGGTTAGGTCTGGGTTAGGTCTGAATTAAGTCTGGGTTAGGTCTGGGTTAGGTCTGAATTAAGTCTGGGTTAGGTCTGGAAGAAAAATTAGATTTTCTAATTAGCAAACTCGTCTTTTTAAGAGTAAATTAAGACCTAACCCAGACCTAACCCAGACATAATTCAGACTTATTCCAGACCTAACCCAGACCTAACCCAGACTTATTCCAGACCTAACCCAGACCTAACCCAGACTTATTCCAGACCTAACCCAGACTTAATTCAGACTTATTCCAGACCTAACCCAGACCTAACTCAGATCTAATCCAGACCTAACCCAGACCTAACTCAAATCTAATCCAGACCTAACCCAGACCTAACTCAAATCTAATCCAGACCTAACCCAGACCTAACCCAGACCTAACTCAGATCTAATCCAGACCTAACCCAGACCTAACTCAAATCTAATCCAGACCTAACCCAGACCTAACTCAAATCTAATCCAGACCTAACCCAGACCTAACTCAAATCTAATCCAGACCTAACCCAGACCTAACTCAAATCTAATCTAGACCTAACCCAGACCTAACCCAGACCTAACTCAAATCTAATCCAGACCTAACCCAGACCTAACCCAGACCTAACTCAGATCTAATCCAGACCTAACCCAGACCTAACTCAAATCTAATCCAGACCTAACCCAGACCTAACTCAAATCTAATCCAGACCTAACCCAGACCTAACCCAGACCTAACCCAAATCTAGGGTCTGGGTGTGTGTCGACAATCACAGATATGCTCTGGTGGAGGTCCAAAACAGAAGAGTCAAAAAACAAGCGACTGGCACTCTCCCGCCAAATCCTTCGTTCTGCTCGGAGTCAATCAGCTTTGTCAGTCTTCAGTAGATGAAAAATCTTCACTTCGCTTTCGAAAATTCCAAGTGTCCGCTGATTGGTCGAGTCATAGTGAAAATTTCAATTTTCCTAATCAATCAGCGGAATCCTAAGTGTTGTTATTTTATTGATAGTGTGATACATTTGTAATGAAAAACTCTTTTTCGTAGCATACATTTCAGTATCAAGTTTCATTGTACGATCTACGATCGTAATGCCGCGTCCACATTGCTGTTCTCTTCACTGTGGACGTGACGTAAGTCGAACATTAACACATTACCGACCGATAGCCTATTAATCGACTGTTTTACCGGCCAACACTTACCGACCGATAGCGTATTAATCAACTTCTTTACCGACCAACGCTTACCGACCGATAGCCGATTAATCAACCGCTACCGGTCGGTAAAGTGTTAAGATGGGTCTGTTCTCATTATTATCATGAATCAAGAAACTATATTCTAATGAATTATACTTGATGCTCTTAAAGAAATGATAAATATTTCGACCATTTCGATTGAAATAAGGATTTTCTACTTTTACTCTTTTTCTCCTGCTATGCTTTGGTTGTTTGCTGTTCCATCAGAAATAACAGATTATCAAATCAATACTGTGTAGAACACCTAATAATTGCATACATTTGACATCGTTTCTTGAAACAAGGAACGTAATCGGTTGTTTCCAAATTAGTGGACAAGCTTCTTACAATGAAAACGAGTATCACCTACGTCCATATTGCTTCTACTCAAAAAACCTAACTCTTCGAAACTCTCAATGATTTGTTTATTTCAGGGTAAATTAAAACACTTTTTAATTGTTGTTTCATCAAATAGCAAAAGATCGTTGCCCATAATCGCATTTAATCGCTAAAACGTTAAGTACGTTTATGCGCACGCGCGATAGTGATTCTCACTCAGAAGACTGTAAGTCTGTCGTTACGTCACCGAGTAGAGTTTCTCATGCTGAGTGAGATCCGCTACCGCGCGCACGCAGCTCTGCGCAGGTTGCCTATTTACAGACGCAACTTAAAACGTTAATAACTATTTAACGAAGCCTCCATCAACAAATTGGTATTCTTCATATTCGTCTTATTTTGGCCCCTAGAATCTGTCATTAAATTTTTTGTTTCGCTTATAACACTTATCTTTGGCTCTTATTTATGACAGTAGAAGACTATTCCAAATATGGTTTATACACGCCATTTATACTCGATAACGACTGTATATCGTATCGACACTTTGAAAATGAAGGTTTAGAGTGAATTGAGCGTTTCAAAGGAAACTACAAATGTTTAAATCAATTTAACACAATTTCTCTCCTCATTAGGTACTGTTGGAAGGTCGATTCATAGTGCGCACGCGCCTGTAGAAGTTTCTGGCACGTTCCGTCCGTTGGGGCCCTCGTGGTCTGCGCGCGCCGGTGTCTTCGCTCTCGTCCCGTACGCGTAACCGCATGTTAACACTTTACCGACCGATAGCCTAGTAATCGACTGTTTTACCGACCAACGCTTACCGACCGATAGCTTATTAATCGGTTGTCATGAAAATAAAAAATATCACTAGATTTAACTACCCTATAACAACAGAAAGAGAACAATATAGTAAACACTGTCGCAAAGTTTCATTTAACATTCCTATAAGTACAAGAAAAAGTAGATATATACAGGGTGTTCGGCCACCTCTGGCAAAAATTTTAATGAGCGATAGTAGAGGCCAAAATAAGACGAAAATCAAGAATACTAATTTGTTGATCGAAGCTTCGTTAAAAAGTTATTAACAATTAAATTCAAAAAATTCAAATAATTCTAGAAAAATTATTTTCGGTTGCGGGGGTCAATTACAATAATTTTTGGTGAATAGACATACCCCCGAATTCCTACGCACTTACGAGAAAAGAATTCCTTACTGAAAATATATTCTATGGCCAGGAATGTCACTTCAGCGAATCTTTAAAAAATCATAACTTCTGAACGGATTGGACGATTTTAATGTTTCAAACGGCAAACAACGTGTAACTTAGTGAAGAATATGTACAAATTTTAACAATATTGAAAAAGTTGTTCTTTGACCTCGTAAAATTAGAAAAACCCTCATAAAAATGGTCCAATTTTCTAACAGCCATAACTCCTACAATAGTGAATATATTTTGATAAAACTTTTTTCTGAAGTTAAGCCCATAGGTACCTATAAAAAAGTATTAGTCAAAATTTCCGTAGGGCGTCAAACAAAATTACTAAAAATCAAAAACCAATTTTTAAGAAAAATCGACAGTCTAAATTTTTCGGTGAAATTGAAAAGTTAAAATCACTCTAGAAAAATTATTTTCAATTACAGTAGTCGTTTATAGTCATTTTTGGTCATTAGACATACCCTCGAGTTCTTACCAACTTTCGAAAAAAAAATTCGAGAATGTGTGAAATTTTTCGACAAAACTAAAATATTTCAAATCATTCTGAAAAAAATATTTTTAGTTACAGGGGTCAGTTACAATAATTTTTGGTGAATAGACATACCCCCGAATTCCTACGCATGATCGAGAAAAAAATTCGAGAATGTATGACATTTTTCGACAAAATTAAAATTTTCCAAATCGATCTAGAAAAATTATTTTCGGTTGCGGGGGTCAATTACAATAATTTTTAGTGAATAGAAATACCCCCGAATTCCTACGCATAATCGAGAAAAAAATTCGAGAAGGTATGACATTTTTCGACAAAATTAAAATTTTCCAAATCGATCTAGAAAAATTATTTTCGGTTGCGGGGTTTAATTACAATAATTTTTGGTGAATAGACATACCCCCGAATTCCAACCCATTTTCCAGAAAAAAATTCGAGAATATGTGAAATTTTTCGACAAAATTGAAAAATTTCAAATAATTCTAGAAAAATTATTTTCGGTTGCGGGGGTCAACTACAATCATTTTTGGTGAGCACACATACCTCCGAAATCCTATCTACTTTCGAGAAAAAAAATCGAGTAGGTGGTGAAATTTTTCGGCGAAAAAAAATTTTTCAAATCGTTCTAAAAAAATTATTTTCGGTCGCGGGGATCAATTGCAATCATTTTTTATCATTACACATACCTCCGAAATCGTACGCGCTTTCGAGAAAAAAATTCCTTACCGAAAATCCAATTAGGTGCCTAAATTTTTCAACGGAGAAAAAAAATTGCAAATCGTTGTGGAAAAATTATTTTCGTTCGCGGGGGTCAATTACGATCAGTTTTTGTCATTAGACACACCCACGAAATCCTGCCCACTTTCGAGAAAAAAAATAGAGAAGGTGTGAAATTATTCGAGAAAATTAAAAAATTGCAAATCGTTGTGGAAAAATTATTTTCGGTTGTAGGGTTCGATTACAGTCGTTTTTGGTGAATAGACATACCCCCGAAATCTTGCGCATTTTCGAGAAAAAAATTCAGTAAGGTGCGGCACTTTAAACGTTAATAACTTTTTAACGAAGCTTCCATCAACAAATTGGTATTCTTGATTTTCGTCTTATTTTGGCCTCTACTATCGCTCATTAAAATTTTTGCTAATCGGCCGAACACCCTGTATAATCTAGGGGTCAATCGGTACTGGTCGGTAAAGTGTTAACACTTTACCGACCGATATCCTATTAATCGACTGTTTTACCGACCGACAGCCTATTAGTCAACTGTTTTATCATGATATACCTTTTTTCCTCTTAACAGACGTAGCATACAATTTTTCAGAGCTCATCAGAGACAAATGTTTCTGATCCACCTCTACAGTTCGATATTTCCCCGCTGAGGTCCTCAACGACGATTTTAACACACAAACAGCACTGACCGAGGTCGGACAAAGCCTATTACGTTTTCTAGTTTTCACATCCGTCAGCATAGAGAACAATCTTTCAGCCTCCGCGTTAGAATTAGGCAACGCTCTGATCGAATTAACCAATCTACCCAAATGTGGGTATTTAAACTCATTCTGTTCGTTTCTCGTTGATAAAATCATCTTCCACAACCCGTCGAACTTCATCGTAGAGAGCATCTCCTTCTCTTTGTCAACAAAATCCAAATGCAACTTGAACCATTCCCTTTGCAACCCTTTTATATCAAAACCGTCGAATTTTTTCGCGACAAAGTGAACAGCCCTGAATGAACTCGATCTGTTCGCGTCAATTAGGGCCCAATAATGGCTGAAAATGCGCAGACTACCCAGAAATTTATCATCGATAGGCAACCGATGGCGAATCTCATTCGCAGCTGTTACATAGAAACGCAAACAATGCTCTCGAACGGTTCTGACCACGTCAGATTTCCCTTTCTCCGTCAACTCGTCGAGAAAGCTCTCGCATTCCGAACCAACGTTTATTTGATCAAGCTCGACTTGATTCCCCTGACTCGAGAAATCTAAATCAATCACTGTGCTTGCTTGCTTCAGGATTTCTGGCTTTATAAAGTTTTTAAGCACTCTGTGCAATAGTGAGATTGACGATTGTTGGAGCAAATGGATCCTAGTTTCGTGGCTCTGGAAGAACACGTTGAACTGGATGAAAGATTCCAGAGCAAATTTCAGGAAGTAAAGACACCCTTTTATTTCTGGATTCTCTAACAAGATGAGAAGACGTTCCCCAAACTTTGTCTTCTCATTGGAATCTAGTTCCCCGAGATACGATATAACACAGTTCCAATTGTCCAACAGTGAAACCACAGCTGCATGATGGGAGAGCCAACGAGTAGTGCACAATTTTGAAATTTTTCGGTTTTTGACTTGATGGAATTCTTGAAACTCTCGGAATATGGCTGATCGTTTAGGGCTGGAGTATATGAAGCCCACTGCCTCGTGTAAAACGTCCTCGCACTCGTCCGGAAGGGTGCTACAGGCTGCACGAACCACCAAAGCAGAGGAGTGGCAGGGACACCTCAGAGTTAGGAACTTTTCGCCTAAGATTTTCTCCAGAGCAGCTCTGAACGAGCAGTATTGACCCACCATGACAGATGCATTGTCGCAGGACAGGGCCAGGATGTTTTCCATTGGAATTTCCTTCCTCCACATCTCGTTTCTGAACGCTGAGAATATCTTCTCGGAGCTGCAGTCTCTGGCGTCGAGGTTTATCAGTTTCAGCAGCTCCGATCGAACATCCAGGGTCCTGGGGTCCACATAGCGTGCCAGCAGAGTCATCCACTTCTCGTTCGTCGAGTCCGAAGTCTCGTCGATAAAAATCGAGAACTTATTATTCCTCAAAACGCTTGAAATACGATCCGTTTCGTGGGGGTACAGAACCCTCGTTATAATATTGGTACACTTCGTTCGACTTAGCTTCATACTGTCTAGAATCAATTTTGGGACACTTTGAAAGTACTCTAGGATCCGTCCAGCGACTCTAAACGGGACATTTAGGGTAGCTATGAGGGCTGCGAATCGAATCTCCGCGATTTGGCGCTGTTCTTCGAACGAAAAAGCTACTTTTTCGGATTTTCTATCGTAATCTGATTTACTCGAGTTTATGCTGTTCTCTGCACAGTTCTCCAGGTGGTATTTCGAATCTGCGTGGCGATTTAGCGTGTATAAGTGGGGTTTTAGCTTTATTTGACAGATCGAGCAGTAGAAAGATGGCGGACCGCCGGCGATCTCGCGCAGCCACGGTTTGAACTTCTTAATTGTCAGCCAATGAGATATCGTTGTCTGTTTTAGACTCTCTGTTGTGTTATTCGGTGAATTCTGTTTGGAAGATAGAAATTTGTGTCTGGCTGATTCCAAGTGTCTCTTGACGTTCGAGGAACGACACTTGAATGTTTTTTTACAGACGGAGCAGTAGAAAATGGTGGTGTCCTCCGGTACCTCGCGCAGCCATGATTTTAAGTTTGGATCGTTCATCCAAATAGATCGAAAGCTATATTTCACCTTTTTTTTTTGCCATTTTTCTGACATTTTTTTTTTATAATTTATTTACGAAAATTGACTGTTAAACACTCACCCAGATGAACGATATTAAGCGTTTCGGGTCACAGTCATTGAGAAAACACTTTTGAAAAATACTCTTAACAATGGCGATAGCTAGACTGTAGATCTTTATGCAAATTCAGATTTTTATTAATAGAATTAATGAACTTTGAATTATAGAACTTTGTCTCAAGTCCTAAATCTTACTTTGAGTATTTTTTATATATTTTTTGCAAATATTAAATGCATTTTATAGTTTTTTTTTTGAGGATTAAAATTCCCCATAAATGCATAAAAATTCCCAGTCTAATGACAACACTTTTTTTAATTTCTGTTGACAAAATGCGGTTTTTTGAGTTTATATTTTCTGGTACCGAGTCACGGATTTATGCTTGTTTTCACTTGTTTTCGATGCAGTTGACAAAGACGTATTGTTCCATGAACATTTGAAAGTTAAAACGCACTATTTTCGATAGACTGCGAGGATCGACTGATTGCGAGATCGCGACTGCACAGGCTATAGATAACCCAGTGGGAATTTAAAGACACAGAGAGTAACTGGAATATCGCGTACGCAAATAGACGACGGAATTCGCGGCTGGGCTTATATCGTCGGAGTAACGCGATACCTGAACAAATATCAACATTATTAATGACTCGTTCGAGGGCATTATCTCTCATATCTGTTTTCGAGCTCCCATCTTATCTAATTCTGCGAGAATAAATTGGGAATATTTCAACATATTTAAACATGTACAGTCGCGTACGAAAGTATTTAAACTATTGCGTGACAAATTGATAACGGATGAAATTCCCACGCTGGATCTGAGTAAGCGTGAAAACAAGAACAAGAACAAGAACAAGAACAAGAACAAGAACAAGAACAAGAACAAGAACAAGAACAAGAACAAGAACAAGAACAAGAACAAGAACAAGAACAAGAACAAGAACAAGAACAAGAACAAGAACAAGAACAAGAACAAGAACAAGAACAAGAACAAGAACAAGAACAAGAACAAGAACAAGAACAAGAACAAGAACAAGAACAAAAGCACAACACAGCACAACACAGCACAACACAGCACAACACAGCACAACACAGCACAACACAGCACAACACAGCACAACACAGCACAACACAGCACAACACAGCACAACACAGCACAACACAGCACAACACAGCACAACACAGCACAACACAGCACAACACAGCACAACACAGCACAACACAGCACAACACAGCACAACACAGCACAACACAGCACAACACAGCACAACACAGCACAACACAGCACAACACAGCACAACACAGCACAACACAGCACAACACAGCACAACACAGCACAACACAGCACAACACAGCAAAACACAGCACAACACAGCACAACACAGCACAACACAGCAACAAAAATAAAAGTAAGAATAAAAATAAAAATTACTTTGCTATGCGAGCAATTGGGTGTGTTTACACGACGAAGCATGGACATTTTAAGAACGTGTCTTTCGGCGCCTACTTGTACCCGTATAGGCATTAGCCTCATCCGTTCTTGTTACTGTTGGTAACAACTGTTTATTCAACCGTTTGTGTTACATGTCGCATCTCCGACGTGCTGTTCTGTATTTATGGCGTATATTATATCGAGCTTTTAATAAATATTCCCTTAACTCCGTTTAAATAACCAACATGCTATTTGGCTATTACATTGTGTAATTGAATATGGAAGTAAAGTAAAGCGTTCTAAATAGACTCCAATAAAGAGTATAGACAAATAAGGGGGTCAAATGTGCCCTCGAAACAAATTTGACACACGATGATTATAGAACATAAAAACAAAACATTCTGTGCCAAATTTCAAACCCCCATCTAGTTCGAAAGGGTAGTTATAGGGGAAATCCGGATTATGAAAAATTATGAAAAAAATCTGGTGCATTGTGGTTATTGAAATACGTGTTTGTGAATTTTTTCCGATTTTTTGATTCAAAATCCTGGGCGTGAAAAATTAAAAACGCAGAAAAATACCGATTTCGCATTGAAGCTTTCGATTTATTTATTGGGAATATTCGGATTAGCGAATTTGTGCCTATTTCCCCTATGTAATCGAGTACGAAAATTATGAAAAAAATCTGGTGCATTGTGGTTATTGAAATACGTGTTTGTGAATTTTTTCCGATTTTTCGATTCAAAATCCTGGGCGTGAAAAATTAAAAACGCAGAGAAATACCGATTTCGTATCGAAGCTTTCGAGACACTAGATTTCTATAATTACTGTAAATGCATATTGTCGTTGGTTATGTCCCTGAATTTTTTCCGATTTTTCGATTCCAAATCCTAGGCGTGAAAAATCAATTTGTGCAAAATTTCAAATCTATTATTAACGGTTAAAAATTGGTTACATTCGGTAAAATTCTAGTTTCTTTTTGAACCGTTATTTCCATATAATGTTTAGCAGAACAGTTTGTTAATATAAAAGCTAAAAATTCTGAGAATTCGAAAACTGATTGCACTTCTTCCTAAATTATTATCATAAGTATGACTGAACCTATCATTTCCTAGTACATTGTATATTCTACTCGTGCGTAACGATATTTCTATATCGTCTAATTTTTATTTTTGTAGGAGGACAAAAAAGGAAAAGGAAAAAGAGGGAACGCGTATCGTCCGGACCTGCTAAAAAAGGCCTCGTCGGTCATGAAATGCATAATATATTGCTGTACATATACACGAGGGGTCGGTCGAACGCTTGTGAGAGCGCGAGCCCTCTGGCGGCGAGCATGGGAAGCAACCGCAGTATAATAAACTTACACACGTTCAAACTGTTTGAAAGTATACGACAATTGGCTTTATTCTGGCGTGAATTCATCGATCAACGAACGAAAATTAAGCTCCATAAATATCCGTATTCATACACGTATAGCATATAAGATCGACAATTAGTAAAGTATAGTCAGACAGAATCTAGTAACGTAATAGACTCGTTATATAAATAGTATTTTTTATTTACAACTTTTTGCAGCAGTATCGCGTATTAATTCTGTCAATCCCAATTATGGTTCATTTACCCAACGGAATATTATTTACAATAAACTATTGTACCTGACCCCAAAAAAAAAAAATCAATTGCATATTTAGTATTCCTAAAAAAAAAAAAGTAACCAAAAGAAAGAGAAGTACAAAAGACTTGGACGAACTCGTTACGCTCTATGGGAGTCGAGATATTTTCAAATTTCATTTATTGACAGACATGAAGCAATCGACTATTCATCGTTCGCATATAAAATATATTCTCTAATACTAGTAAGATTAGCGTATTAAATGTATCGGCGATTAAAACAATTTTACCTCTATGTTTATCGTCGATTTTCCTTCTTTTTTTTTTCTCTCTCTCTGGAAAGGAAATTATCACGATCGAGGTGTGTCCAGAAAATATTACGAACGGTCTGTGCGTGCGAAAAGTACGATATCTTCTGTAACGTTAACAGAATTAATAGCCATGTCTGCGATGCAAAAGTTCCATCTTAAATCCATTTGGTCACGCTCGAAACGAAGAACCAAACGCGAGTTCGTTCGTGCAACAATAATAACACCGAAACTGTCATTTCTCGCTAACGCAGACGAAAATTCAAATTTTCCCGCGCTAATCACCATCGACGCGCCACGGTTCCGTAGAAGCCGTAATTAATTGTTCCTAAATCGCAACAATTTCTCACGACAAACGTGTCCATACGCTTCGTTCCTTTAATATTTCTTAATTGCTTAAAACAGTTAACCTCTTGCACTCGAAAACTTTTCTTTGATCACAGCGTTAGAACCAATTGATTTATTCGACCAATATTTGCTTTATAATTTTATAGAACTTAAGAAAATCAAATGTATGTGCCTAATGTGTGGTAAAATTCGAAACAATAATAATTTGTTTGTCGTCTTCCATCTGGAAGTGTTTTTTATTTAATTATGTAAGTACAGGGTGATTCTAGAGGCCAAAATAAGACGAAAATCAAGAATACAATTTTGTCGATTGAGGCTTCCTTACGAAGTTATTAACGTTTAGATTTCTGCCTGTAAATAGGCTGCGTGCGCACCGCTGCGCGCGCACGATAGTGGATCTCACTGACGTATCGACAGCCTTAGTTTTCTGAAACATTAATAACTTTTTAACGAAGCCTCGATCAACAAATTGCTATTCTTGATTTTCGTCTTATTTTGGCCTCTAGAATCTTCCATTAAAATTATAATTTTATAGAACTTAAGAAAATCAAATGTATGTGTCTAATGTGTTGTAAAATTCGAAACAATAATAATATGTTTGTCGTCTTCCATCTGGAGTGTTTTTTATTTAATTATGTAAGTACAGGGTGATTCTAGAGGCTAAAATAAGACGAAAATCAAGAATACAATTTTGTCGATTGAGGCTTCCATACGAAGTTATTAACGTTTAGATTTCTGCCTGTAAATAGGCTGCGCGCGCACCGCTGCGTGCGCACAGCTGCGCGCGCACGATAGTGGATCTCACTGACGTATCGACAGCCTTAGTTTTCTGAAACGTTAATAACTTTTTAACGAAGCCGCGATCAACAAATTGCTATTCTTGATTTTCGTCTTATTTTGGGTTCTAGAATCTTCCATTAAAATTTTTCGCAATGACAATGAAAGGCAAGAATTCATAAATTAAAATGTCGACAAAAGCAATAAATATTTGTATAACGCGACGTAAAATTTGTCGAGTGAATCACGCTATATTATGTTTTATTATGTAACACAAACTGTATATCTAATTTAAAAAAGAGAACTGTTCTTAATCTGTTCTTATCATATTCTTCGTTTAATTATTTATTCTTTCGTACAATAAATAGAAAAATTCCAAGAGAATGTATGTAATATTTTGTTTCAATTTTCCCTACCTAATCACCAATAATCTCTTTGAATCAGTCGAGTGCAAAAAGTTAAATTATTTTTAATTTCCAACAATACGAGGTTGAGGAAACAACCACCAGGTGGACACTAAGCGCAGAAATCCTTGCGACTCTTGGAGTTACAATGAATTATTATGCACGTTTTCTTTTCACAGTAAAACCAAACACCTATGGTCGACATAACGAACGATTCACGCATAGAACATATTCACGTAGTTTGAATATCGATCGTCGTAATGTAAAAGTGGCAAAGATCTCGATAATACGTCGTAATATAATTCTTCGTACCTTATCGTACACGCGATTAGTAAATATAACGTAAATCTTGTTATCAATAATGCTCGAAAACTTAACAGAAGAAGCAATTGTTTTTTTTTTTTTCCCCATTTTTTTTTAATAAACGATCGCGACACTACGCAGAGCCCAGCGGCGCCGAGACTCGCATTCTCAGCATGACCAAAAAACTCTGCAGGCAGTGACGGTGAGCTACCTAATCCATATTAATAGTTACATTAAGTTCTATGTTTTATAATATGTATATATATACACGATCCGCACACACGAAGTTGAACCCTAAATCGGCATTAAATTAAAAAGTCAATGACAAATGGATTGCGAAAAGAATATCGACATAAACGTGTGGCGCTGCTT